AGGATCGGGAATTGCGGAGGTGTTGGATGCGGAAAAGATATTAAAGTTAAATAGTGATAATGAGATTTAACTTCAACTTGCTTTCTATATAGTTGTATGTATAAATTTAAAGAATTATCTATAGGTGCTGTATGTTTTGCATTGCATAATAAATGCAGAAGTCTGTTTCAACTTATGGTTCTTTGCCCTCATATGTGTCAAGTACTTATATGAACATGCATTAGATCTTTTGGGCAAATAATGTTGAGCATAAGCGATGATAATACTCGTCCCATTGACGGATACACAAAGAACGGCTTGCAACTCGTTAAAATGGGAGACGAAACAATTACACCCACAACAAATGGAGCATGTTGTGAACCTGTAGCTACAGATCAGCGTATGCGTAGCAATAATTCGTTCCCAGAAACGTGGCAAGCGTTGAGACAGCATCGTATTCCTTGGCTCTGAGTTAAATTCATGTAATACTTTCAAAGGCTGTAGGCAATTATCCAATCACAAATAATCTTTAAAGGGTGGTCTTTGAGATTATTCGTTCTTTATATATCCGCGATTTAAAATTGCTAATAGCAAGTAATAGTAATGCTAACACTAGTACTGAAACGTTTATCCGATAAAAAAAAGGCAAGTAATCAATTATCAAAAAATGCGAGCTTGAAAATATTCTGATAGTTACCAATGCGCAGATGACTAGGCCAATTACAGAGTGATAAAAATTATATATATATAGAGGAATACCCGTATATGAAAGATGATTATTATAACGGTTCCACCGAATACGAAAAAGCAATGCGTTTCTTGGAGATAAGTTGCAAATGTAATTGTTCGAAAAAAATTACGAGAGAGCAAATTACGTGAAGCGTTTCAAGTTCTCTTTAGATCTAAACGAGACATATTTTTAATGGCCCAACTGAAAGCAATGAATGGTGAAGAAATAACTGCCAGCCGACGTCTTAATAGGAAAACGCGTACTAATAAAAGAACTTTTATTATTGAGATCGCAATACGCCGCTTTCAGAAAACGTATCTCAATATGTTGGGAATTGGTCGCACTCATTAGAAACCGTCAGAAATCATCTAGCAAAAATGGTGTAATACCGCGCGCGCGTTCATGGTAACATAAAACATTGATATTACCGCTGCTACAGCCGTGAATTTTATGCTGAAATTCATGGATTATCAAGCCACGGTAGAGATGTCAACCGAATTACTCAATCGCTTACGCTCTTGCCAGCTGAAACGAGTTACAAGTGGTCTATCGTGATTTTATTGCGAATCTCGAAAACGATAGCACGTTGAAATTGTTAAAATATGATGCGCTTCGCAAGCTATGGCACCAGTTAACGCCTTACATTCAAAGCATGAGTCCAAGAACGGATTTACGTGATTTCGAGAATAAATAAATTACACATGCCCATATTTATAATGTATATAGTTGATACGTCTGCAAACTACACATAGCGCTATGTACATATACTGTATTTATAGCACGTATAAAATAAATGGTTACTATTCAGGATTTACGCGGTTCTAAATGCACGGATATTGACGTAATTACATAAATAGATAACGACAAGGGTAAAATTTTTTTTACCAGATGCAGATGAGATACAATCCCTATCGGACCCCCTTTAATTCTAATTTGCCCAACAATCCACATAATAATTGTTTCCAAAATTTTTATGTCATAGCCTAGATTTGTGTTG